GCCCCTGATGTCCTTCTTCGTCGGCTCCCCCAACATCTCGGAGCCGTACTTGGTCCCCCCTTTGTGGAGCCGCGTGTTCTCCAGGACCAGCACGCCTCCGTCGCCCGTGGCCGACCCCGAATCCTTCACCTCATCGGTGGACTTGCAGTCAGGCTCGCCCTTGGGGTCCTTCTCCGTCAGCTCCCCCATCTGCTCGGATCCGTGTTTGGTCTCCCTCTTGTGGAGCCGCGTGTTCTCCAGGACCAGCACGTCTCCATCGCACGCGTCCGACACCAAATCCTTCACCGCATGGTTGGCCTTGCAATCTGGGGTGCGCCTGACGTCAAACTCCATCAGCTCCCCCATCTTCTCGGAGTCGTTCTTGATCTCCCCCTTGTAGAACCAACTGTTCTCTAGGATTAGCACGTCTCCATCGCTCATGGCCAACACGAGCTCATTCCCGTCGATGGCCTTGCAGTCTGGGCCTCGAGAGATATCCTCCATCTTCAGTTCCCCGATCTTCTTCGCCACCGGCTTCGAAGCCAGCTTCTTCAGCGGCTCAGCCAGAGCACCACGGCGTCGCCCCCTCTGCATCTGCTTCGCCTCCTTCGAAATGGTAGGGAGCGCCGCCACGCCCTCGCCGAGGAGCGCGTGCTCCGCGACGTTGCGCGCAGCACGGGTCCCGCTGTCAACGCGGGCCTGGGTGTCCATGTGGGCCGCCACGACCTTGGCCCTGAGGACGGGCTCGACCAGTGCCACGCAGCCGCTGACTCGTCCTCTATCTCCTGCTTGCACAGGACGCCAGCACCGCCACCATTGCGGGCCGCACGCCACAGGGCGACCGCCGTGGCCGCCACGACGTGCTGCGATCCTCCCGCCTCCACGACCGCGCGGAGGAGGCCAGCCGCCAGGGGATCCATGGGGCCAGGCGGGGACCGTAGCGAGCTCAAACCACATGCGAAACAATGGGTGAGCCCAAACGGCTACGGAGGAGGAAGATGATGATGATGATGAGGAGGAGGAGGAGGAGGAGGAGGAGGATGACGAGGAGGGGGAGGAGGAGGAGGAGGAGGAGGAGGAGGAGGAGGAGCGAGGAGGAGGAGGAGGAGGAGGAGGAGGAGGAGGAGGAGAAGGAGGGGCGGGAGGAGCAGGAGCTGCAGGAGGATGCGGCAGGACGGAGGAGGAGGAAGAGGAGGAGGAGGCGGAGGAGGAGGAGGAGGCGGAGGAGGCGGAGGAGGCGGAGGAGGAGGAGGAGGAGGAAAAAGCCTGGGCTCGGCGACCTGATCCGGGGCGGGCGGCGGCCCGCCCCAGCCAGGGCGGGCCAGGCGGCCAAGGGCGCCGCCAACGGGCTCGCGCACCGCGGGCCTCTGGGGCGGCTTCGGGCGCCGCCTCCCCGGCCAGCCACCACATGCAGGGCGGCGAGCGGGGCGGCGGGCGCCTGCTGCCGGGGGGCTGCCGCGATTGCCCCTGGCCCCGGAGCCCCTCTTGTTGCGAACAAATCGTGACGGGAGGTTTTTCGCTATTTTTGGCCTCCTGGGGCCCTCACCGGGCCCAAGGGCCGTCAAATAACGACTCAGGATGCGTAGCCGGTCTCGGGGGGGTCTAGACCTCTGGGAGTCGACGTTGTAAACAAAATCGCAATGTCGTGGGTCTGGGGCCTGGGGTGTCCCCAGCTTTCCGCTTCACCTTGGAGCCCCTGTGGGGCCCTCTGGGCCTCGCGAGTGGGGCGCCCTGGAGTCCGCAGCGGCCTCCGTGGGAATCTTGGGGGAACGCTCTTCGGCTAGGGATGAGTTCGAGACTCGTTGGAGGAGGCGGCCGAGGTCGAGGCCGAGGCCCAGCAGCGCTGCCAACCCAGCCGCGCGGCAGCCCCCCTTCTCGGGACTCCGGACTGCGGACCGTTCTGTTGAAGAAGAGCTGGGGCTCTCGACCACCTCCTCCTCCTCCTCCTCCTCCTCCTCCTCCTCCTCCTCCTCCTCCTCCTCCTCCTCCCTCCTCCTCCTCCTCTCCTCCTCCTCCTCCTCCTCCTCCTCCTCCTCCTCCTCCTCCTCCTCCTCCTCCTCCTCCTCCTCCTCCTCCTCCTCCTCCTCCTCCTCCTCCTCCTCCTCCTCCTCCTCCTCCTCCTCCTCCTCCTCCTCCTCCTCCTCCCTCCTCCACCTCCTCCTCCTCCTCTCCCCTCCTCCTCCTCCTCCTCCTCCTCCTCTCTCCTCCTCCTCCTCCTCCTCCTCCTCCTCCTCCTCCCTCCTCCTCCTCCTCCTCCTCCTCCTCCTCCTCCTCTCTCCTCCTCCTCCTCCTCCTCCTCCTCCTCCTCCTCCTCCTCCTCCTCCTCTCTCCCTCCTCCTCCTCTCCTCCTCCTCCTCCTCCTCCTCCTCCTCCTCCTCCTCCTCCTCCCTCCTCCTCCTCCTCCACCTCCTCCTCCTCCTCCTCCTCCTCCTCCTCCTCCTCTCCTCCTCCTCCTCCTCCTCCTCCTCCCCTCCTCCTCCTCTCCTCCTCCTCCTCCTCCTCCCCCCCCCTCCTGGGCACACCCCCTGGGGCCCTGGCAGCACCCGAGCCTCCATCCGGACGAGCGGGCCGCGCCCCGCGCCACGGCGCCGGGCCTGCCGGCAGGGGCAGCGCGGCGGCCAGCGAGAGCGGCCGGGCGGCGCCAGGGTCGGGGGGCGAGGAGGCCGCGCGCGGGGGCTCGGACGGGCCGCCCCCGCGCACGGCGGGCCTGGCCTGCCGCTGGCCACCGGCGCGCGGGCCGCGGCCGCAGGCTGTGGCGCCGCCCGGCGCCCGTGGCCTGCCGCCGCGAGCGCGGCGCGCCTGCGGCGCGGCGGCCTCGTGCGCTCGCATGCAGCCGCAGCCGCGGCTCCTCCCGCGGGGGCACGGCTCGCCGCTGCCCACGTGCCGGCAAGGGTTGCACTGGTCCTTTGTGGTGGTCTCGTGAGCCACGGGAGACCACGTCCATCAGAACGTCCTCGGCAGCAACCGTGCGCTGCGGCGGTTCACACGTGCCTTCAATGGTCGACACATGCCGCGCATGCTGCATGGCGCCGCCCCCGCGAGACCTAACCCATGCAGACTATCATGCGGCCTGCTCCGCAATGGCTGCGGAATAGCGGACGACCGAGGAGCGATGTCGAACCATTTCCCGCGGCCCACACCGGCACGCTAACTTCACCAAATATTTCTTTTGTGTGTTTTCTTCTCGTGTGATCCTCTCACTCGTTGTCGTCGTCGTCCTCCATCCCTCTCCATTGCAGATAACCTCTCCCGAAGCACGTCTGGAGACAGCGCTGGTGTTATCAATGTTTCACGATGGACACCACGAGGGTTATCTGCAGGGTTGTGGGTTGTTAGATGCGAACATTGTAAGATATACGTTGGAAATGATGCTGCATTCGAAGACTGCTGTGTAGTAGTTGCTGAGCGTGTCGCTCGTCCACAACTGGATGAATTTATTCGGAGAGTCACGTACCGCGCTCAAAAAACCTAGCGAACAAGAAGATCAGAGGAACCTTTCCAAGGGATTCGTTCTGGCGATTGGTGGCAAAAGCTTTGGAACAACAGTGCCAGGATCGTCTTCGAAGCGCAGCGTCTCCTCTAAACTTCGGGCTTTGCAGCAACAGCGGTACAAACACATATTCTCTTGGATGTCTGTCTGAAGCGTACCCGCAGACGATTATTATGAACATCGACGGGGTAGGGGCATTCGATCACGTCAGCAGAGCGTCAATTTTCGAACAATTGTTGAACACATCGATATTTTATGCACCACTACCGTTTGTTCGTCAATGGCGCGGCATGCGATCCGGCATCCACACACACACACACATCAAAGGTCAACTCCCCCACGGCACACAAAATTGTGGCATACCTGGGCGACATTCACATTGCGTGCGAACCATAATAGTAATTGTGCAGATCTCTTGGGCTAGGTAACGCAAGTTTTATGGGACATGTACCACATCAGTGTGAATGTGGGGAAACTCGTTGTTCTGGTTATGACGCCTTCGCATTCGCAAAACCAGGAAGATCTTCGTGAACGTGCGCCTGATGCATGGTGGTCTGTCTCCTTCTCTTGACCTTCCTGCTTTCCCTCACAGTTCTGTGCTTACATTCCTTATCATTGTTCCTCGTCTTCGTTCTTCTTCGCTTTCTTTTGTCGGTGCTTGGCGGTCGTGTGTGCACATGCGTGCGCCTGCGGCCAGAAATTCAACATACTGTCACCTCTTTCGCGATTACGGTCCGCTTTTTTACAACCGTTTTCGTGAATTCCCCGAACAAGAAGACATACCATTTCACAGCAGTGGTAACCTGACCACCGACCTTGAACGCATCTCGACATCGGAGACGGATCGGGAACGCTGGAAGGCGACTCCGACCTACATATCATAGAAGATGGCGGCAAAGTAGATGCTACAATCTAGGAAGACAAGGACTTCCTCACTGTGCTCAGAGTTTCCAGGTGAGGCATACCCTGACTGCAGATCCCGATCAGAAAGCGACATGCCTGACAGACAACTTACTCATGGCGGTCTCGGGGCCCGATAACGGGCCCCAGAGGCCCAACTCGAGGATAGGAGACCACTTGCACGCCGAAGGTAATGGGTGGCGCACTGGAACCACCTCCGCCACCGCCGGGGTGAGTGCTTCCCCAGCTGATGGTCGGAGGCTCCTGGATCCTCCCCAGGAGGCTCCAAGATCGCCCAGAGCGCCCCAAGAGCACCTCGATGGGCCCCTAATGCCTTCAGGGCGACGCAGGTGAGAGAAAGAGGTTCGAGTAGGGGATCGACTACAGAATTGATTTACCCAGAATGGCTTCTCCTCGTCGAATCCACGGAACATGCGTAGAACGGTCGTAAAATCGAAGAACGTTCTTCGTATTCTTGCCGACGATTCAGCGTGAACCTCAAGTTGGGGATACTGAAGGGGCCCTGGGACACACAAATAAATAGGCACAAATACGAGGACTCCCCCTATTTTCCAATATTCTCTAGGTTTCTGTCTTCCCCCCCCACTTCCCATACTTTCCCATATCTTCCTGGGAATCGATGATTCATGGTGTCTGTGTGTGTCTTTCCCCCTCTTGAAAGCTGGGGACACGTGACCTCTGCAGTCGAGCCCCTGCTCGGAGGCAGGCGTGCGAAGCGCCCTTTTCTCGGTGGGGCCCCGGCGGCCGCGGCGCACGGCCGGAGGCTGCCGCGACGGAGGGGGGGCCGACCTTTAATCGGCCCCGCTGCCGGCGGGGCTCGCCCGGGAGCTGGGCGAGTCTCCTCCTCCTCCCCCTCCTCCTCCTCCTCCTCCTCCTCCTCCTCCTCCTCCTCCTCCTCCTCCTCCTCCGCCATCCTCCGCCATCGAGCTGGGCGAGCCTCTGGAGGCCTCCTAGATGAGGTCCGAGTTGATGGGGTCGGAAGATCGCGCCGCATCGCCGACACATCGGCGATGCATCGCCGATGCATCACCAATGCATCGGCGACAGAGGGCGATGCATCGGCGACGCCAACGTGGAGAAAATCAGGCTCCGCATCGAGCCGCACCGCCGATGCATCGACGATGCGGCGCGATCCTCCGACCCCATCTACTCGGACCCCATCCAGGAGGCCAAGAGTCTCCCGCCCCCCGCTCAAACTCGGGGATCTTCTGACCCGGGTCAATCCAGACCCGGGTCAGCTGGAAACCAAAAACTGCAATGCAGGAAAAACAAACTGCAGCGCAGGTCCTCGCAAACCGGGGTCAGCCAATAGGCGCGGCCGCCTCGCGGCCACGAACGGCTCCCTAACCCCCGTTTGCATTGACCCCCGTCTCAAGGCTCCCGACGAACCCCGAGATCCGAGGGCCCGGCTCCCTCAATCCGGCGGCTGGTCCTGGGATCCCGCTTCCGGGGCCCGCGGTCGGGCCCAGGGGGGGGGGGCCCTCAGGCACCGATCCGGGACGACAAGCCACCCCCTGGGAGGGGGTCGGGGCCTCTGGGGCCGCGGATTCCTCCTCCTCCTCCTCCTCCTCCTCCTCCTCCTCCTCCTCCTCCTCCTCCTCCTCCTCCTCCTCCTCCTCCTCCTCCTCCTCCTCCTCCTCCTCCTCCTCTTCCTGAACAACCAGATCGGCGGATGTCTGGGGAAAAAGAATAGGACGCCTGTACACAAAAAGAGGCGACGGATCCATGAAGGCTCCATCTGCTCGCCGGGCTCCGCGCAGTGTTCTGTCTGGCCCGTCGGCCTCCTCCCCCGGTGTTCCCACACGAGCGGGGCCCCGCTGGAGGCACTTTTCTCCCGCCCGGCTTGAATCGTGCACCGCGAGAGCGCTCCGCTGCGGGCGGCAAGCGCCACATGAAGCCATCCGAGCCTGCTGCTCTTCGGGCAGCGTAAACGGGCTGTGACCGAACCTTTGGGTTACCCCTGCTGGTCCTCGGGGATGGACAAACCCCTCTTCAGTAAAACGTGGTTTAGTGAAAACGACCTGAGGCCCAAACCTGGCGGGCGCAAGCCTGGAAAATCACGGCCACGGCGCCATCTCGAGAACCGAAAACGGACAATTCACCAATCGACGTGTCACTGTTGGGGGTTCTGTCCACCTCCGAGTCAACGGGCTGTGACCGAACCTTTGGTTACCCCTGCTGGTCCTCAGACAAGCCCTCCTCTCCCCATCCCTCGGACGTCCATGCCCCGCGCAGTTGTTGGCTTCGCGCGCGTACTTTTCGCAAGATGATCCAAGATGCTCCTCCTCCTCCTCCTCCTCCTCCTCCTCCTCTCCTCCTCCTCCTCCTCCTCCTCCTCCTCCTCCTCCTCCTCCTCCTCCTCCTCCTCCTCCTCCTCCTCCTCCTCCTCCTCCTCCTCCTCCTCCTCCTCCTCCTCCTCCTCCTCCTCCTCCTCCTCCTCCTCCTCCTCCTCCTCCTCCTCCTCCTCCTCCTCCTCCTCCTCCTCCTCCTCCTCCTCCTCCTCCTCCTCCTCCTCCTCCTCCTCCTCCTCATCTGGCGAAAAAACCACGCACGAAATCGCTGGGACGCCCATGCCCCGTGCAGTTGTTGGCTTCGCGCGCGTACTTTTCGCAAGATGATCCTCGATGGTCCTCACCGAGGAAAGAATGCACACGTCCGAGCGATGCCGAGTCATCTCCGAACGTCAACGGTCCTGGCCCAGCCCGCGTTCCGCCACCGTGCCGCGAGGCACTGCAGGGCCCCACGAGATCTGCGCGTCGAGTACTGCAATCGACTGCTTTTAACAAGGCCCGCGCCCACGAAGTGCCAGGAATCCTCGGGCGGTCCTGGGAAAATCGCCGCGTGAATTGTCCGAGGTCTCGGGGGCGTGGCTCGCAATCCAAACTTCCGACATGCTCCAAGATGGCCCCAGAGGCGTCTTGGAGGCCCTGTGTGTCTGCCCCAGAGGCCCAGATCATTGAATCTCTCAAGCCCGTGTATCTTTTTGTGTGCTCGCTTTTCTGGTCTTGCGAGCGTCCGCGACGGCCCTGGAGGTCCCCAAGATAGGCCCAAGACGGCCACAAGGCTGGCACCCGAACTGACATTTGAAGCCCTCCACCCCAAGACGGCCCCCGAGACCGCCAAAGAGGTCTCCGCCCCCATGAGGGGTCCCCAAGATGCCCCCAAGAGGCTTTCCGAGAGAACCCAAGAGCCCTGAAAGAGGCCTCTGGTCCATGAACTAAGCACGTTGGCGGGATGGGCCGAAGGGCGCTAGCTGTAAGCGCATCTTGCCGATTACTCTGGCAAGGCGGGCGTTGAGAACAAATATGCGTGCGATGAGAAAGAAAGGGTGCCATCAGGCGTCACGTGCACCAGCGCGCTGCTAATACGGCCACTTCTTCCCGCTCCCACCCCCTCTTGCCCGACGCGCTGCTTGCGCAAGCACCCACGAGCCTCGATGGAAGTGTCGAAAAAGGTAGGATGCTACGTGGCAGGGCAAACAGACGGTCAAATGAGACCCGCGATGCGAATCACCGGGCGACAGGCCGCCGGTGCGGTCACGCGGTCCTCGCAATCCAGCGAATACCCGAAGCATAGCACCGGCCGCGGCGATGGGGATGGCGTCCGCGCGATGTCACAGTGCGCCTCCTCGGGCAGCGACGCTGCGTTTGCGGCGCCAGCGGCGGGCCACTTGCCCTGCCATACGTTCAGGGGCGAGGGAGTCGCCAGTGGCATACTGGCAGGCTGCGCGGCCTCTTCCAGGCTGAGCGGCTCCAGGGCGAAGCGGGGCCCAGCCACGAGCGCAGGAGGGTCCTGGGGAAGCCGCAAGATACCAATACCGCTACTCCCCGGATCCCTCCAGGGGTGCGCTCCGACCCGAAATCTCGAGGCGAGTCTAGCCGTGGCGACGAGGGCCTCCCCCAGGAAGCCCCAAAAGGCAAACAACGAGGGACGGCAGCGGTATCGGCACCTTTGGACCAGAAAACAAACGACGCCACACCACTTACGGCCCCAGGGGGCTCAGCGTATACCGAGAACTTTGGCGTGGATTGCTGCGTGGTGTGCGCCACGGCCCCGGATGGGCCGTAGCGCAACATGGAGGGCCGTAGCTGGGGCGGTGTCGTTTGCTCTTTGGCCGAACCTCTTTTCCTCCTCTGACGTCCTCCGCCTCCCCCAGGCTGCCGCACGAGAGCGCCAACAGCGCACCGCCGAGCCAGAGGCCTTCCTGCGCCAGCTCGGCCGCGGCGCCCCATCCCGCCGACGGCCCCTCCGCGGCTGCGTCGGTGGCCGAGGCGGCTGCGGGCTCGGCGTGCAGCGCGGTGCGCCCAGCCTCGCCGGGCCCGAGGCCGCTGCCGCGCACGCGCTGCTGCGGCTGCCGCACGTGCCGAGGCGGCTGTGGCTGCTGCGCTCTGCAGGCTGGCCGGGGTGGCCGAAGCTGCCGCGGCGTGCGCCGCGGTGACCGCCGCCGCTGCTGGGCGCCGCCGCTCACGGGCACCACCGCGTAGCCCTTCTCCTGCAGCTGCACCTCGCAGACGTCGGCGAAGCGGGGGTCCTGCAGCAGCTCCGTGAGCTTGGAGTGGCCCAGCTTCGTCTCGCTGAGCTCCAGCTTGAACAAGGATCGGAAAAGGCGCTTGACGTTCGAGAGTGGCACCTGGTTTGTGCCCCGCTCCACCGATCTCTGCAAGATCTCGTGCAAGCGAAGCCGAGCGACGTCCCAGCTGGCCACCTCCAGCCCCGAGAGGGGCTCCTTGGCGGGATCGCCGGCTGCACACGGGCATTGCAACGTCGCGCAGCGGCTCTTCCGCATGGACGTGGATTGGCCGTAAGGAACAATGGCGCCGTCGGAGTAGCCGAGCAGCCTCCGCCGTGTGAGCGCCAGCTGCGTGATGTGGCACACCTGGCCGAGGGTGTAGCCCCGGAGGAACGGCAGCCCTCGTGAGGCCAGCGCCTCCGCGCTCGCGAAGCGGCCACCCGGCAGCGCCTCCGCCTCCGCCCCCAGGCCGCCGAAGTAGTCGGCCGCGGCGGCCCAGAGCTCCTCCGGGTACACATCCTCGCCGCCGTAGATGTCCACGAAGTCCTCAGGCCGCCCAGAGAGCAGCACCGCGAACTCACCGCCCTCCTCGCACTGGACCCTCAGCCCGGGGCAGGCTTCGCACCGCGCGCGCAGGCTCGCCAGGCCGCACTCCTGGCCGCCCCCGCTCCGCTCGGAGATCCTCTTGCGCAGTATCCGCCCGTAGGGCCGCAGGCGGTCCTCGTACAGACTCTCGATGGCCTCCACGATCTGTGCCCGCGACCGCGGAGACGGTGGCGCCGAACTGCCGCTTCCTGGCGAGTCGAGGCAGGCCTCGCTCGCCGACGCCAGCAACGCCGCACCGGCGCGAGGTCCAACAAGGAGCCCGCCCCTCGGCGCCCTGCGGGTGCTACCCATCGGCGCCGCCGACGCGCCCGGGGGAGGTCACAGCCCGAAGGCGATGCGGATGCTGGGTTGGGGATGCGGCGTCCTCGTTGTGAGAAGTGGTGGGAGAAACCTTCGAGCCCTTGTGGCTCGAACCTCTGGCAGGCCCGAGGGCGCCAGAATGACCGCAAACGGCACGAACGGGGCCCAAGGACACACAGATAGATAGACACAATTCCAAGGATTCCCCATATTTCCCATATTGTTTGGACGTCAATCTTCCCGCCACTTCCCATATCTTCCACCTTTTCCTCGAAATTGATGGTTACTGTATTTGTGCCTGTGTGTGTTTTCTCTCCTCCTGACAACAAGCCCCGAGAGTGCCAAAAGTTGCCCGAAGAAAGCCTAGACAATAGGTGCACAGCAGCAATATATAATCAGGCATGCCGCCAGAACCGCGGCGGCGCCAGCGCGTCTAGACACGAGGCGGCCGAGGGGGTCGCCGCCCAGACTGGTGGCCACGAAACGCCAGCGAAAATGAATTGGCAATTCACGACGAGGGCCCCCCAAGAAAGCCTCAGGATGGCCTCTCCCCTTTCCAAACCCTCCTCGCCTGGCAGCTTGTGCCGTCCTGGGCGCGCGTGCCACTTGCCTGGCAGCCAGGACGCCGAATGTCTAGGGGTGGTATCGTACCTGGGGTCAGCTGAGCAATGAGCTCAAGCGATCACGGCGAGCGCTGCCCACTACTGGAGAGGCCGAGCCCCCTGCGAATGCCACATCAGCTCACTTCATTGACCATGAAGGCGGCATCGCTGCCAACACAGTGCGGGCGCGGCCGCAAGAAACCCTCGCAAGGAGCCCAACCCTGAAAACCCGCACACGAGGTGCACCTTAGGGGAAGCCCAGAGCACCCTGAACGCAGCAGCTTCTTCAACGGCTGCGGGAAGTCACCGCGCAGCTCGTGGATCGAAGAAGCCCAGGATGCCCTGACGAAAAGCATGTGGTTTCTTGATGCACGCCCCCACTGTACCATTGCCCGCTTCCTCCCTTGAAGGACTTTTCCGCCGTTCGAAAAAGGTGGCGCAAACATCGATGAGTCAAAGGGCCCGCCTGGCTCTCTCACCGAAAATACTGGTCTCGCTGCTAGGGTTTTCCCCATAGCCTGGCGATACGCGAGTGCAGCTGTATCGAGCGCCTTCGCACTCCGAAGAAATGTGCTCGCAATGAGATTCTGGAAACGTGCCAACAAACAAAGCGTAGAGAATGCAAGGGAACCTGACAGCAAAACGGCATCCTACACCCTCTCACCACTTGTGGTCGTGGGCCTCAGTATGGACTCTGGCTGCTGCTCGATCGTTGCCAAGGGTGCTCGCAAACCCAGCCAATGTCTCAAACCTGCGCAAAGTCACTGCAGCCACTCTGGCCCTTCTCTATCCTCTATTGCTTCCCCCTCCTCTTCCACCCGCCCCTCCACAAACCTGCTCCTCCTCCCCCATGCCTCCACCACCTCAAGCCGACAGGTGTCCCGACCCAGAGACCAATATTCACGCATTGACTGGACATACATAATAAAGAACAACGGCTAGGAGCATGGAACATCAAAGACGAATGATCCTGAGATCGTCCCACAAGATTCCGTGCCGTACCGCGATGCTCACGATACTGCGCAGACGCCCGACCGCCTACTGGCATCCCCATCCACCCAACTTTGTGCGATCTCATTCTGTCATTGGCGAGAATGGGAAGAGAACGCTCATAACGGTGCGAGCTGACATGGCAACAGAAACCTTATGAAACCCCGGCGGGGCCCCAATGGAGGGTCTTCCTCACCCTCATGCAGTTCAACTCAGTTCTGAGCCACGCCAAGCAAGTCAAAGCATTGCTTGGTATTGCTTGGAATCGATGTTTGGCATTGCTTGTCATTGTCTAGCACTGCTTGGCTTTGCTTTTCATTGCTTGGCCTTGCGTGGCGTTGCTCGGCGTTGCTTGGCGATGCTCGGCATTGCCTGGCGTTGCTTGGCATTCCTTGGGATAGCTTCGCATTGTCGTTGCATTGCTTGGAATAGCTTGGCGTTGCTTTGAACCGTTGCTTGGCATTGGCTCGGCGTTGCTTGGCATTCACACTGCTTTGCACTGCTTGGCCTTGCTTGGCATTACCTGGTATTGCTTGGCAGTGCTTGGCATTGGCTTGGCACTGCTTGGAATCGCTTGGCGTTGCTTGGCACTGCTTGGCGTTGCTCGGCCCCCGGCAAGCCCGAGAAACGCTGGGGGCCGCCTGGACAGACGTGGACAACGGCGGGCACCCCGAGGAGCCCCGAAGACGACGCTGGAGCCAAGATGGGCCCCTGCACCGGTCTCTTCTACCGCAGGGTAACGGGTAAGGTACCTCTGGGCAAAACGTAAACGTAAATGGATAATGAAGAATGGAGAATGGATAATGGAAAGCCTACGCCCCAGCTTCGAGTGAAATGGAACTTATACGGTAAGAAATAAAACTTCACTCCAAGCGTCTTCTTAAACAGTAGCCCAGGTCCAAGCATACGAACACTATACGAAGAAAGAGGCTCCAAGAAAACGCCCAGGGTGCGGCCCATACTCTGGGTCTTTCTTGGACGAAGCCTGGAGCCCATGAAAGTGTTTGCGTGTTTCCACCATCTGCCTGGTGGGTGTAACACTTCTGCACGCGCCGTGCTGCCACAAGGTAGGCGTGGCAAGGAACAGAGGCACTTCCCTGGCCGCGGCGAGCCTCGGCCACGAAGAGGCTCCAAGACCTGGATCTGCGGAGCGGCCCGAACCCCGGAGCCCCCCCCCCCGGGGCCCGAGGCGGTCCTCGTCCTCCTCCTCCTCCTCCTCCTCGTCCTCCTCCTCCTCCTCCTCCTCCTCCTCGTCCTCCTCCTCGTCCTCCTCCTCCTCCTCCTCCTCCTCCTCCTCCTCCTCCCTTAGAGCTTGGCTGCCCTGGGACGCCCGCGTTGAGAGGGCTTCCGCGTCTCGACTCTCGCCATCGCTCGGACGTCCATTCCCTGTGTTTTTTTCTCGGCCTCGTGCGTGGTTTTTTTTCGCCAGACGATCCAGGAGGCTCCTCGATGGCCCTCGCCGAAGGAAAATAACGCACACGTCCGGGCGATGCCAAGGACCGCAGGCAGGGCCTGGAAGGACGCGAGGCGGGGGTCTTTTGCGCGAGAGGGAGGAGGAGGAGGAGGAGGAGGAGGAGGAGGAGGAGGAGGAGGAGGAGGAGGAGGAGGAGGAGGAGAGGAGGAGGAGGAGGGCCGCCGGCGCGGCACGCCGCAGTAGACACGATCGGGCGCCCACGCGCGACCTCGCGCGGGCAGGATGGCGCGCGAATGGCGGCGCCATCGACACTGCTTCTCTGCGTCAGGAGGAGGAGGAGGAGGAGGACAGGAGGAGGAGGAGGAGGAGGAGGAGGAGGAGGCTCAGCTGGAGAATGGAAGCACCTGGTGCCTGAATCCACTGGCCTCTTTCCCCAAACGGCGCTCTTACCTGAGAATCTCTGTGCCGTGTCGACAGGGTCTTGTGGAGGCTCTGGGCCCGCTCAGACCAACGCTTCCTCAAACGAAACGGCAGAATCGCAATCCGTTCCTGGACGATTCCCAATCTCAACAGCCGAGCTCTCGGCCTAGCAGCGGCCACGTCTCTACCTATACTACCGCCCTGCGGGCGATAAGGAGGTTGGGGGGGATTGAGATCAAATGCCCACCCTGACTGACCTCCAGCCTGTCACCTTGATCTCATCTCTCTCTTTCTCTCTGTCTCTCTCTTTCTCTCTGTCTCTCTCTCTCTCTGTGTCTCTCTCTCTCTCTGCCGAAATGAATTGATGAATTGGGTTGGATGGATTGGATTGGGTGGGATAAGATAAGATGGGACAAGATGGGTTGGATAAGATAAGATGGATTGGATAAGACAAGATGGATTGGATAAGATAAGCTGGATTGGATAAGAAAGCCCCGCGCAGGCGCCGAAAAAAAATGAATTATGAAATTGGCGACATGCGTTAGCGCCAGGACGCCCGAAACACCCGGGACACCCGGGACACCGCCCGGCCCAACTGCACCTTCCGGCCACCGGAGGACGGGAAACGGACTTTCGCTCCTACTGAAACCTGGGACATCCGGGACACCGCCCTGCCCAACTGGGACACCTCCCGGCCACCGGCGGACGGGAACGGACTTTCGCTCCTACTTCGGCCTAGCTACAGGAGGATCATGCGCAGCTTCGCCTCGCCCGCACGCGCGACACGAACACGACACCGAAACCGATTTCCTGGTGGGAGGTCTCCGTTTCACTGCGATCTCACCCCCCAACCTCCGATACCGCCTTGAACTGCGCGGATTACTTCCATAACATCCGCGCGACTGGTTGATCCGTGTTTGCCATGTGCTCTCCGCGACTCGGTTGGTGAGTGTCAGGGCATGGCAGGAGAGCGCAGCCGCCTCCTCCTCGCGCCGGTGCTAAGGGCCGACCGAGACTGGCCAGGGGTTCCTCTGGCAATCGACGCAATCCAGGAGAGAAGGCTTGCACCAGCGTCGTCGCCGTGGGTCGTCAGCTGCATCCTGCTGAACTCAATCCTTCCTGCTCTTCTGTTCCAGTGCGCTGCCAAGACCAACAGAAGCAGTCACAACATCGGCAGCAATAGTAGCATTGGTTCCAGTCGTGGTGCTAGCGGTCGCAGCGTAAGTAGAACAGCAAGAGTCCTAGCATCAGCGGTTGCATCTGAAACAGCAGTATATAAGCAATCGTAAGACCAATAGCAGCGACAGTATCAACAGCATCGGCACCAGGCTGCGGCTCTCAATGAAGAGGTGCCAGTAGTGGCAGCATCGGTAGAAGCAGTCGTAGAGGAGAATAACGAAAAATGATTACCAGCAGCAACATCGCTTGCAGGAGTGTTTTTTAGTCCTGAGGATGACTCGCGTCAAGGATGAGGGTAATTAGGGGAATAACGCGACGCACCCCCTGGCGCACCAGGAATGCGTTATCCTCCTCAATGGTGGGTCGCCCTCCCGGTTGCGCTGGGGGTGCGTTATCCGCCACTGTGCAGACACCAAGCGCCAGGATGCGACATGGCCTGTGTGCGTTGCAGCGGTAGCAGTTATGCGCGCCACAGTCTGTGCACGCAGTGATGTCTGTGTGCGCAGCAGTGAGCGTGAGCCCCATCGTAATTATTCAAGAGACACCAGTTTCAGGAATCAATTCTCTACGCTCAACTTTGAGAGGGACCTTTCGATCCCGAGCGAACCCAAAATTGCGGGCAAACTGTAATGTGTTGTTGGCAATGCTAACACACTACCAAGAAACAATTGAACCGAACTGGTATCCGTGAACCGGCGGACCCTGCAACCGAGCCGCCCAAACCGGAGCTCAAACCGGACCGGCTGAAACTGAACCAGCCAGTTCAAGCCGAGCCGGCCGATCGAAACTGGCCTACGGCCAGCCCGAACCGGCGGAACCGAACCGGTCCCCAGGTGCCACACTCAGGGGACCCCACGAGACGGCTTAAGAGGAATCCAGGGCGGCGCAGTCCAGAGAGTTCAATATGGGCCGAAGAAGGCTTCCAAGAGGCTCCCCAAAGAGCTTCGCTTCGCGACGCCCCCCGACGGAGGAGGAGGGAGGAGGAGGGAGGAGGAAGGAGGAGGGAGGAGGGATGGAGGGAGGGAGGAGTAGGAGCAGGAGGAAGTGGAGGAAGGAGGAGGAGGAGGAGGAGGAGGAGGAGAAGGAGGAGGAGGAGGGGACCTATTCGCGACCCCCCGGTCCGGGCCCACTGGTCCGCACCCACCGGTCCAGACATCCTGGTCCGGACCCCCCGCGGTCGGGACCCCAGTCCGGACCTTCCGGTCCGGACCCCCCCGGTCCGGACCCCCCGGTCTGGACCCCCCGGTCCGGACCCCCCGGTCTGGACCACCCAGTCCGGACCCTCCAGTGAGAAAATCGTGTCGTCGGATATCATGTGAGGGGGGCGGCGAAGCACCTTGGCGCACGACGCCGTCGGGGGAGGCGCCGTCGGCGATCACGCCGTCGGGGCGCCGCCATCGTCGTCGCCGCCGCCTTCGCTCCTCCCCCTCCCCCTCTCGCTCCCCTCCCCCTCCCCTTCCTCCTCCTCCTCCTCCTCCTCCTCCTCCTCCTCCTCCTCCTCCTCCTCCTCCTCCTCCTCCTCCTCCTCCTCCTCCTCCTCCTCCCCCCACTCCTGCTGATGCTTTTTGCGCGGTTCGATCCGCGGCCGCAACACGCAACAGTACTCGTTGGCGCGCCAACTTATCGGTCACCCGAACCGGACCGCCCGAAACCAAACCGTCCCGAAGCAAAACCGAAC